GTTTTCTGCAATTTATTCACCGCTGAAAGCTAGGATATTTTCTCAAGAGGTGGAAGATGTGACCCTGAATGTCTTTGGAGGGAGAGGGAAGGGATTTAGGTCTTGTGCTCTTCATGTAAAATACAAAAGCCATCACTGCATTTACACTCTGTGGACAGTAGTGGCTGTAATTGTATTTTGTGAGAGCCCCGTCAACATGTAATATCTATGATGTGAGAAAGCCTGGACTGAGCCCTTTTGGGAGACTTCGGAGGAAATTCAAGTATTATCAGATCAGATCAGTTAATCTGTGGATTAGGATGCTGCGGTGCTCAGGTCTAACAGCCAGGGCTAGGTATGTGCCAAATTGCAACTTCAAAGTAGAAATTAAGTGCTGTAACTGCAGAGCACCTCCCATGAGTAGGCAGCAACTGGGTGGTGTTTGTTTGGGTTTAGAATGGAAGCTTATACTGGTCACTTTTCCTTTACAATTACAATGTAGGCAATTAAATTTACTCCAAGTCATACTTTAGGAACCAGTACTTTATTGGATCTCACCTTCACTGACTCCTTAGGAAACTCTCTGCCCTTGATCCTATTGATGCACCATAAAGGAGATTCTGCAGATTCTTCTCGGTCTGTCTAAAAGAACATTTGAGGATAAAGAAGTTTGAATTTCACTCCCTGCCATATGGAAAACATACGCAGCTCATCTCTGAGTTGGATCCCAAGCCATAGCTGATCAGAACTCGCCGATTTCTGTGGACTGCACAACAGCAAAGGGGTGGATGGGGGTGGGGGGCAGCGTAACAATTTTCAATTCTGGATGGAAAAGTTGGACTGAGGGAGGGATGTTTTTTGCTCTGCAGTCTCAAGTTTAAGGCTCAGTCCCGGAATCTCAGTTGTGTTTGGAGAAGTGGTGCCTGGGAAGTACTCTGTTGCTTCCACCTCCTAAGGAAACTGTAATCTTTGCTTTGTGGACTCAGCCCTCACCCAAGTATCCTGTACACTGAAGGGTGCTGTGCTGTTACGTGATATTTTCTAACTACAGCAGCTGCAGAGCCCCGACACTCACTGACTTAGTGGCATCTTCTGCGCCATTTGATTACTTATCAATTCTTGGCTCAGATCTGCACTTCCCAGCTTGATGGATTCACATCTGTTGCCTGACTACCCTCTTATTCATATCTTCATCATTCAGATCAAAGACTCCAGCACACTCCTCAAACAGTGCATGCAGGGACTGAGGCAGGGTGAATAATTTTTTCTGAAGAATTTTGAAGGCTGCTGTGTCCAGATGACGAACTTTTGGTCATTTGAAAAGCTCATTTCTCACAGTCATTTTTTTGTGTGTGTGTAAGCACTATTTTGCAGCATAGTGGTTTTCAAATTCACAAGTTCAGACTTTGGATATGGGATGTAGAGGATGAAATTTTATTAAAAATTGTGTGTTTGCAGTTGTGTACAGAGTGATGAAAGACAATTTGAGTAAGTAATAAATATGCAGTTGGATTTATCTGTCAAAAATAATCTGTAGAATTTTTAAAGTGTTCAGAACTTGAAGGGAATAATTTTATATTAGTTTAAGCTTTTGTTTGTTTTCCTATTTATTGTTTTTCTCTGTAAACATCCAATTCTGAGTTCTGGGGCATCTGAGAGTCCTCTAGAGGGCAAAATAGATTTAACTAGTTCTTTGAGGAAGCAAAATAATAATCCTTCAAATAAGCCCTTTTTTTTCCTTTCTCATCAGTGGGTAATTTAAAACATCCTCTTTCTTTGTGGCTCTTGAGCTTTGATTCACAAGTGTACTTAATTGCTTAATTAAATGGGAATTAGGTGTTTGAATTCTTGTGTGGCCCTAAGCCTTATGGTTTAACTGACTTTGTGACACTCTGTGCCTCTTGCTTTGCAGGTGTGGGTATGGCCATGAGAAAAATGGGAAGCATGGCCAAACCAGATGTTTACATTATTAAGGATGGGGACACAATCACTGTAAAAACAGAAAGCACCTTCAAAACTTCACAGTTCAGCTTCAAGCTTGGTGAGAAATTTGAGGAAAACACATTAGATGGCAGGAAAACTCAGGTCAGTATACTAGACTCTTCTATTGAAAAAAACCACAATTCTTTGGGTGTTTCACAGATGTAGATGCTATCTAAAAATCAGTTTTGACATCGAGACTAACAGTGCTTTAATTGGTGAGCAGCTGTCTCTGTAAGTCTTACTGGAATAAACTTTTTTGTGGGTTAAGCAACTTCCAAAGAGGGGGAAAAATGCTGAAACCAATAATGTCTTGTGTATTTTGTTGTTTTCCGTTTGTAGCAGAAGCATTGTGTTAGTAAAACTAACAGACCTCTAAATCCCCGTTAAAGCCAAATGCCACTTCATTTGAAGCCTGTGGAAAGAATCCCATTGATGTTTAATCAGAGGCAATTCAGCCCTAGGGTTAACCTTTCTGCTCAGTCTCGTATTTACGTAACAAGAGAGCCGGGCTCTGTGCAGTGGGGTAACAGACACACAAGGCACACATGTGAATCACAGTCCCTAATCTCCAGTTCTAGAAGGCAGAGAGCTTCTCCCTGCACCAAGTAGGGACAATACGCATTCAAAACCTCAAATATGTCTCATCTGTGAGTGCTCTGTGTACCTTTCCCCCTCCTCCAGCCCCACACTGGCAATTCATCTATTACTGCAAGGTCAGATAAACATTACAAAAAAGCTCAAAAGCCCGTATACAAAGAGATGAACAGAGAACATCATCTGCTTTTGTTAATTGAAATTGTGCATGCTGTCAAAGGTCTGCCTGACGCAGGAATGTGTCAGAGCAGTGAGTGAACAAGCAGTGAAGATCAATAAAACGTTTAAGATAATATCCTGGCTTTGTAGAATTCAATGGCAAAATCAGTTCTGAGTGAGCTGGAGTGGGAATTTTTCCTTTGGAACAAGGTTTTGGAAAGCCTCAGTCTCCATCAAATGTTGTGGGTAAAATACTCATGTTTGGATTCTTCTTTCAGACTCTTGTCAGCTTAAAAGATGATGGGTCATTGGTTCAGGAGCAGGAATGGGATGGCAAGAAGACCATAATAACACGGAAACTAGTGGATGGACAGTTGGTGGTGGTGAGTTCAGTCCTGCTTTCTGATTCTTGTGTACTGCTGGCTAGTAGTCTGAAAAATAACTCTAAAAGATCTTTTTCAGTAAACACTGTAGGGAGGTAAATTTAACAAATCTATCTTTTTATATTCTAGGAATGTGACATGAATGGCGTCAAGTGTGTTAGAGTCTACCAGAAAGCATGAGGAATCTTCATGTTCAGTAGGAACTTGCTACAAACTCAGTTCAGTGGACAGAGCTCCTTTACACTCCATATTTTCCTTTTCCCTGTTTTCTAGTATTTCAATGGACTGAGTAGCTGAGTGCAATCCTTTTTAAAAGCAGTGATGTAACTATTATGTAACTATTCTGAATTTATGAGGCTATTAAATAAAATTGTCAAATATATGAAGTGGAAATGTTGTTACTATAGTGGAATTTTAAAGTGAGCAAAAACCCAGTTCGGTTTTAGGCTTTACTACAATCTGCCTTCAGTTCAAGATACTGCAATATATGGCAAGGAATGGTTAATAGCAAGCTGAGTTTTGACCAGCATCCTCAATTACTAAGGTAGTAAGATATGAAATGGAAAACACATTCAGAGTTCAGGCTCTAGAGTTGTTTCTAACTTTCATGTTGTTTGTACCCACTCAATTCTATTTACTTTATAAGAGAAGTGTAGCTGGTGATTCAGTAGAGGAATGTATTTTCAGGGGTTATTTTGGTTTTTCATGTTTCAAACCCATAAATTTCTTATCTGAAAAAAATATATGATGGTGAGCCAATGGACATGATAAACTTAAGCAGTGGTGTACATGCTTTACAGAAAGGAAACTTTATTTTGAGAAGACTCTTTGTTTTCCTAGCAAAAAAACCTTATTTTCTGTCTAGTAACATGCCAAAAATTCTTAACCAAAATCTACTGAAATACTGCCTAAAACTTAAAGCCTCCTTTTATTTATTTTTTTTTTAAAACTGGCTTGAAACACCTAGCAATGGAGTTTATATGCTTTAAAGTGCCACAATAAATAATTGAAAATATTAGTGTCTTGAGTGTTACTTTTATACCGGTTGGGAAACAGCTTACAATGCTACTATTCTTCCAAAGGGGCTGTCAGATCAGACAAAATTAGAAAGGTTTAGGTGAACTTCTGTCACATCAGACAAACATGTCCTAAAAGTGAAACTGTTAGGTGATGGGTGATGGAGATTTCCATCAGATTCAGAAGCCTGCGGCATGCAATTGCACACTTCCAGTTTGCATCATTACTTCTTGCAGAATCTGTTGCTACTTCAGCTCTACAGATATTTTAGCTGTGCAGCACATGTATCATCTACTGTGCTCACCCTAATAGCAGAAAAGTCTGTTCTTTCATGTTCGTCCTACGAACCATGGAAGATTACTTTTCCCATCATTTTGGACCATTTCTCCTTTTGATAGTTTCCTGACTATTTATAAATCATCCCCTTTTACCTGTATCATCTGAATTTATAGCTGGAGTGTATTTCTTGTAGTTTTTTTTAGTGACCTGTATAAAAGTAAACATTTTTCCTTGTTCCCTAACATCTCCTTTATGAGTTGGCCAATCTTCATATCACCTTCCTTTAGTATTTTTCCTGACATTAACGTGAAGCCTGAATATCTATGCTGTATTCTTAGATGAGACATAAACATTTTTTTTGTTGTTATTATGGGACAAAATCTCCCCATAGAAACAGAAAACAAACTGATCTGATGAGGAATGTGGTAAGTTTATGATCAGAAACACATTAAATAGTAGCAGGAGAATGGGTGCAGCAATCCATGGCATGATATGAAAATCCTACCTCCCAAAAGAAACTTGCTTTAAGAGGGATGTTATTCTTTCTTTGGAGTCATTGGTCTATCACTTACCACTGCTTGTTTACTCTTCTCATACGGGGTAGTGTTAATTGTTTCTCTTTTGTTTGAGTGGAAAAAGCTTCCAATGTCTTTTGTAGGACAGCCGGTTTGATTACAATGAGATCACTTCTTGTAAAACAAAAGGCAGAAGAGTATCTTTTTAGAGCGATTTCCTTTGGAAACAAGGCTTATAAAGTCTGTGTTTGTGTGTGTCTGTGGTCTCTGATTTCAGCCACGTGTGAAGTAGAGGCTAGAGGTTCCAAAGGTAATTATTCTTCCACAAATGTCATGAAAATAGGCAACCTGATGAAGGCAATATATCATTAAAGTGCCTTGATGATGGAAAGACTGCACAGGGAAGTGACACTTTGGCATTAAATGGAAGAAAAACATCATAAGCCTTCTTGGCATGCATAAGAAGTTATCTTCAACACAAAAATTGACCAATGGTAAGACACAGAAGAACAGGAAACTGCAATTCTTTGGAGCTAATTCACCAGAACTACTCAGGCTCACATATTTATTTGATTTATTTTGATGTTAGCTTCAGCCTATGTTGCTGGTAACTTCAATGTAAGTGTACTGTGACCCAAAACTATCATACAACCAACCGGTATTAGATTAGGCCATATACTTAAACCAGCAATTGTATTATAGTACTGCAAGCCAAGATAATGTTTAAGACTTGAAAATAGAATTAATTTCCAAATTCGTTCTAATTGTTATTACACCAGCCAAAAGTTTTACTCATGAAATGTGTATACACACTGTTCTCACGAGCATAAAATAACCAATTGTCCTGAGATTTGACTAACTCACTGCAGTTCACTATATCATGTAAGTTGGCAGGAAATAAAACTTCCAAGAACAACTGAAAAAGAAGAAATTATGCATTTTCCAGGCAGGACTGCTTTATAATGCTGCAGAATTATGAAATAAGGAGACGAGTTTTGTTGTGACATTTTAGTGCATGTTTGTTGAAAATATTTTGGAGGGATAAAAGAAACATTTTCAGCAAACTGAAACTGCAAATAAAACTTGCTCAAAGAGATGCAGTTTTCATATCCGTTCCAACACATGTTCATTTAAAGTCATGAGCAGTGTCCAATTTATATCTTTATATCTTACTGTCTTCTCAAATGGGTATAGTTCTGTGGTTTCCATAGAAGGGGGTTTTATTTGTGTTTTTTTGGATGGTTTTGGGGGGGGGATTTGAGTGGGTTTTTTTTTGGTGGTGAACTAGGATAAAGGAGTAGAAAATGAAGTTGTTTAGCAATTTAGATCTGATATTCTAATGCATTAGGGAAGTCTCTTGCCTGAGTTTTCCAGTAATACTAATGAAACAGCACTGTGCTTTGAGGAGAGCGCACTGGCTTTGTACAATTCTCAGACTATCAAAGATTTTCCTGTTATGGTTTGGTTATATGATTTATTTCAAAATTGTTATTCTACTCTGCCTGCAATCTCTGCAATTAATACTGGCCTTTCCTCTTCCTCTCTCCCTACCTCACGCATGCACTTCAGATCAAAGTTTTTTAAAAACCAAAGTCAATGATGAGAAATCTCTTAGTTTTCAAGGTTATTGTCCCACTGTTAGCTGTCAGCTGTCCTAAAAAAAGGCAGTGATTGTATTATGTCTTCAAGTGTGGAGGTCAAGTGTAGGAAGATAGTTTTGCTCTGCCACTGGCTACTTGGGTAATATTAACTGTGAGATTCAGACATCCAGAAAGAGAATGAATCATTGAATAGGCACGCTGTTTTGTTTTTTTGTTTTTGTTTTGTTGTTGTTGTTGTTGTTTGTTTGTTTTTTCCAAGTTAGAACCTAAAAATCTGGTACTATTGATTCTGTTGATTATAAACAATAAACAACCTTCTACAAACTTGTACCTAATATTATGTCCAATGTATTTTGTTGTTCATAAAGCAGTCCATTCAAAGTAATTCTTATTAAAATCAGATGCTGAAAATAAGTGCCCTGTAAGTATTTTTCTGGGCCCCAAGGGGCCTTGACCATGAGGCTTCCCTTGACCCCTGCCCATGAGCCCCATTTCAGCTCATCCTGTGGTGCCAGTTCATGCCTGAGCTAGTTGTCAGAGAAGCACTCTCCAGCTCAGATACTTGCAGATTTTACACAAAAATTCATGCATTAAACTAATTTCTATGAAGAAACTGCCTTATAAAGGGCTTGTATTCTACTTCAAATTGTTTAACAAAAATAAAAGCAGTAATGCAGGCCAGCTCAAATCAAACCTTTGTTGGTGACTCCTTCCCTGCCTAAGTATGTGCTACCACAATGAATAGATTAGAAACCCTTTGCAACTATGTTTGTTGATTATTTGTGCTTGTAGTGGGAAAAAAATTCCACACAGTGATAGTGGATAGGAGCAAGTTAACATATATTTTCTTTGATGCCTCATTTCAGTCCCATTGTTCAGCCCTGGGAGGATTTAGCACTATTTTCATAGGTTTTGGAGACAATCCAGCATCTGTGTAAACACAGTTTTGTCCCATGATTCTCCTAGCTTTGGCTTTTCAGCCCTTGTACATCGAATTAAGAGTTTGTTGACACCTCCCACAGTGTTTTACTTCATACTATTATTTCAGAGGAAAAGGAAACACTATTAGAGATCTCACTCCCAAGAGTGAATTTGGCTTCCTTTCCAGCAAAAATGTTTCCAAAATCAGTTCCCTCTACCAGATGGTCTCAAATATATTCTGAAGTTATTTACAGTTGAAATCTATTATAGTTTCAGAAGAAATGTTTCAGCAAGAACAATCCAGAATCAGATAATGTCCTGAAAAATCTCCTGAATCACAAATATTACAATTGAGACTTCAAAATAATTAACACATTTGTTGTTAATCACAGATGTATGCTCTGAAATTAAACACCAAAAGACAAATATCCCACTCTGAGGACCATGCATACTACTTATCTAGGACTGGACATCTGCTCCTGCACACATAGCATATGGTTTCTTCAGAAATTCATGCTTGAAATCAATGAGTTTACCTTCAGAAAAGGCATTAGTTAAGGGTGCAGCTCAGATCATTGCTCAGGGCAAGTGTCCAACAGAAAATCAAGGTACTGAGTACAATTTTCAGGCTGGGCTGGTAGCACATTGCTGCTGCACACCACAGGGGCATTCTCGCTCTGTGGCTTCATGTCTTCTGGGGCCATGTCCTGTATGGTGAACAACAAATTTGAAATCATAAAGAATAGGGTAGCTTGCATCTCTTGACCTCAACAGCAACCTTGAACTGAGACCAGAGAGTCCATGAAAGGGAGTTTCTGGAAACTCCTGGAGTACAAGGGTCACTGGGTTCATGGAAAGTTGAGTAGGCAACTCAGACTCACTCCTAGCTCTAGAAATTATGGCCAGGTCTTGTTATGGCTTTGCAATTTAATTCTATAGTCACCCAGTGAAATACAGGAGTAGGAATTATTCCTATTCTATTGCAGAGTGCAGTTAAGGCAAAATACCATTAATATTTTCCCTTTCAAAATGTTAAAGCAGTAATTGATACTGGGATTTTCATTCCGTGCTTTCTGTTGTCTCATCTCCGTTCATTCTTCTAAACTACCTTGCTTTGTACAGATTTAACTGTGTATAAATAAAGTTCACAAAATGGGATGTTTCTATTCTTTTACATTTTTTTTTTCTTTTGGTGAGATGCAGAATGAAAATGCAAGCATATCTTTACTGGGGACATTGTTTGAATAATCATATTCTCTTTGCACAATTCATGAAATATGGTTCCTCTGTTTAACCAGCTTAACCAATGGCTGTTTTTCTGAAACTGCAACAGAAAAGAAGAAGCCAATTGATTACAACAGAAATCGCAGATGCCTCAGACCCCTTTTCCCTTGTCATGTATTTGCATACCACAATTCATGCTTATCTGAGCCTTCATGTTTTCCCTCTGGATGTTCACTGTCTTCATAAAGATGCTTGTTTTTTCCTATTATGTTTAAGATTATCAGGTCTCTTGGATTCAGTTTCTGAGCACCCAGCTGGCGTGATTACTGGAACAGGGATTAAGAAAGATAAGAATAAATATAGCTGCATCTTGTCCAGTCCCTCTCTCCCCGCC